CTGTGCTGTGCTGTGCTGTGCTATGCTGTGCTGTGCTCGAGTCACCAACGAGCTGGTGTCCCTGATCTCCTTTGAGGGCACTTGATGCCTGGCTTCGGAGGCTCTTTCTTCTTGGTCACTGCCGTCATCCCTCCTTCGACACCGTCCCCTCTCTGGCTTGCCCGTCATTTTCAGCCGCAACACAGTCCTTGGACTCTTCAGCTGCGTCATCGCCACATTCGCTGTGATGACGTTCGATATGAATCTACCGGCGCCAGGCGCCAAAAAGACGATCGCGGTACTGGGAGCATCGTACGCGGGGCATCGGGCGATCCAAGTGCTGGTTGCAAGCTTGCCCGAGGACTGGCGGGTGGTCGTATTGGAGCGCAATACGCATGCCAATCATCTGTACGCCTTCCCAAGGATGAGCGTGGTGCGCGGACACGAGCAAAAAGTGTTCATCCCTTACACCAACATGTTCAAGCCCGCGCTCGCTCTGCGGGATCAGCATCAACTCTTGCATGCCAACGTCTTGGAGCTGGACCAGCAGAATCGACGAGTCTCGTACGAGCTGATCAACGACAAAGCGGCCGGCGTGCAGTGGCTGCAATGGGACTATCTCGTCTATGCTTTGGGCAGCCACCTTCCGGATCCGATCAACGTTTGGAGCAGCAGTGGCGAGCAAGGTAGCCGTCAGCACGACGGAAGCAAGATAATGGGGGTGCAATGGCTCAGGGATGCGCAAGACAGAATCGAAAAGGCAGAGTCAATCGTGATCATTGGCGGAGGAGCTTTGGGCGTCCGTAAGTACCGACTCACCTGTGCTGTAGATGATTTTTTTCGGCTGAGACACTTAGCACACGAGACTAACGAGATGTTCACCTTGCTTTGTTTGGGCGAGACCAGAACTGGCAACGGATATTGCGGTGACCTATGGCCGCTCGAAGAGAGTGACCTTGACTCACTCTCGCGCCCAGCTGCTGCCTCGCTTCGATCCGTGGATGCACGAGAAAGCGGCTGCGCGGCTGTCCGAGCTAGGAGTCGAGCTCGTTCTCCGCAGTCGTGTCGACCTTGGTTCGCTGAGCAGCGACAGAAGATCGTTCCGGCTCCTCGATGGGCGTCAACTCGAAGGTGATCTGACGGTAAGTGAAAGGGTCAGGGTCAGGATCGTCGTAAACGGGTCTCAAGCGCTGACCGTGCTCTTTGATGATGCTGTGAACTGGCAGCTGTTTTGTCTGGGTCAAACACCCAACACGCTTCTGTTGGGCGAATCATCGTTAAGCGAGTCGGGCATGGCCAGAGTCGAACGGACACTGCAGCTCTCGAGCAATCCGCGCGTATTCGTAATCGGCGATGCTGCAGATGCCTTCGGAGCCATCAATGCAGGCCACACAGCGTGGGACCAGGCCGAGGTGGCCGCTAAGAACATCCTTACGCTCATCTCGACCAAGCAGGGCCAAGAAGCGGCCGAGCTACAAGAGTACAAGCCGACGCCCCCGGCCATCAAGGTGTCCCTGGGCATCGATCGAGCCATTCGACAGACGATGGGGGGCGAGCTGATTGAGGTGGACAGTGGCGTGATCGATCTCAACTCGACGAGCATGTGGACTCGACGAGGTCTCGGCACCGACGATCTTTGGCTCTGAGCTGTACACGAGAGGGTTGCAGCCGCCTGTTGATAGGATCATAGCTTACCACTTAGAATTAGAATCTCAAAATGCCGCACTAACGCCAGGCTTCGATGGTCAGCTGTCGGATACCGCGCCGTCGAGCGGGTATGGGATGAAGCAGAGCGTGCGACAGATGCGCCCGTCGAAATGCCAAAGCGGTGTGCAGAGCCCGTGCAGGCATCACGAGCAGTACTTCTACTGTAGCTCATGTCAGGACACATGGGCGTGCATGGGCCAAAACGCGGCTCCACCGCTCCACCGACCCCCACAGCTTCCGAAGCCTCAGCAAGACGCGTGCCTCTCTTTGCGAACCGAACCCTTCTTCTCCACCCACTTCTCAAAGATGTTGCTGGGATTCCTGCACATCCGTCTCGGCGTCTTGACCCAAATCGTCGACCCACTTTCCCCGCATGGATACCAGTGGAGCGCAAAGCGAGGCTCCGAGAGCTTACAGTCGGAAGCGACGGCTGCACGTGGAGTGTGGCGCACAGCACATTGTGACAATGCGGGCCACGCTTCAGGACCCTTGGCACTCTGACGTACCCCACGTTACCCCACGTTGCTCCATGCGAAGGACTTGGCCGGACAGCGACGTCCGTGCGTACTTAAGCAACGGCATTCTTCGCTAGTCCCAGCTCTTCAAATGACGCAAGCAACCCTTCCCTTCCAGCCTTGCACACGCCGTACAGCGGGGGGCCTTGACGGACGCCAGAGATCGACCGTGTTCAAGCATGTGGCGCACCATTGCATTGCTGGCTTCAGCAGCGCTTGCTGTGCAAGCAGCGCCCACTGATCGCGGCATCTTCAGTCCGAAACGCATCTACTTTGGTGCCACCATTCCCGCGGACTCTAGCAGCGTCGACTTCGAGCCCTACTGTGGGTCCGTCATCATCAACGATACACACCCGGTCGCTGTCCTTGATTACGGCAGAGAAGTCGGTGGCACGCCAATCTTTACCTCGAGCAATGCCGCCCAGATCGAAGTGAGGTATACCGAGGCGTACGCTGGTCTGCTCAAGGAGCAGGGGGACGGTCCCTACCCTTTCTCCACCATGCTGGCCGATACGTATCGCAGTCATAATCTCTCGATTCAGGCCGGCGAACAATACCGAGCGCCTGCCGTGCAAGGTGGTCAGCGATGGCAGTCCATCTCTGCTTCTGGTCCAACCACGCTTGACTCGGTCGGCTTCGTACCCTCCATGTCGACTCTGGACGCGGACGAGGTGCCGTCGCAGTTCAGCTCGTCCGACGAGACTTTGAACGACATCTGGCGCCTTGGAGCGCGCACCGTGCTGGCAGCGTGCTTTGAACAAGCTTCGCAGCCGTCGACGTGGTCGCCCAGTGCTCAGGGTGTCCTTGTGCCCGGTCAGCGACCCGCTCTAACTCGCAGGTTCTATGCCATGGAACCGTATACTCTCGCCTTCGAGAGTCGCATCGAACAGGGTGGAACCGGCTGGGCGGTCGGGTTTCCGGTCTCAACGCTCGATGGCGGCCTTCTTCTGTACATCCGCAACGACACGCTCACACTCGGATACGGCTTCTCGCTGCTCAATCAGACGAGCCTCAACTCGTACTTGCTGGACTCGTTCCCGGTCTCGGTGCGCAAAAAGCAATGGCTCGCCATTCAGACCGACGTTTCAGAAGAGAGCTTTGCGGTCACCATCGATGGTCAAAGCGTTTTCAATGTCTCTTTGAGCAAGTACTGGCTCCCGAAAGCTCCCCTTGCACAGTCGAGAACTCGCGGCTCCTTCGGCTTAGGACCGTGGCAGGACCATGTGGCTCGCTATCGAAACGTCAAGGCGGTGGCTACCAACGGAACCGTGCTGTACTCGAACGATATGAAGGACACCTCGGGCCAGCTACTTGAGGAGTATGGAGTGGCAACCAACCGCTATGCGACATGCCTCGACGGTGCCAAGCGAGACAGGCTGGTCTGGCTCGGCGACTTCTACCACACCGTGCACACTGTAGCCTCGTCATCTGCCAGGCGTGATCAGATCGAGGGAACGCTGGATTACATCTTCAAGTATCAGATCGCAGACGGATCGGTTCCATCTTCGCCCGGAATGGGCTACGATCCGGACAAGAGTATGGCAGAGGCGGCGCAACGAGGAGAGCCCAACTATCTGCTGCGCGCGGACGCCAACATCCCCATCCCCCTTTCGCCTGGAAGCTACGGTCTGTTCGACTACGACATGCTCGGTCTGCTGGCGTATCTGCGCTACGTTGAGAATTGGGGCTGGACCAGCTGGGCCAAGGCCAACTTCGAGCACGCATCGAACATCAAAGACTTTATCGTCTCTTCCACTAACCAGACCACCGGTCTGATGAACTTCCCAGGCTTCCTGGGCCCAGCACAGGGGTCTGCCATCGGCTTCCTCGCTCTCAATGCACTGAGGAAGTTCGATGCGCTCTCGTCCAACTTGACGGTCACGTCCACTGCAGACAAGCTGCAGCAGGCACTGTGGACACTGTGGGATTCCGACAACGGAGGCTTCCGCATCTCCATGACGGACGGCAACTTTTCCATCGCTGCGACTGCGTTCGCACTCGAGAGCGGGGCTGTGTCGGCCAATGACACGGAGCATACGACTGCGCTTCTGCGTCGACTGAAGCAGGTCAAGGCTCCCATCGGAGGCTACCTCGACACTTCGGCTGCCATTGGCGATCCCACCGCGAACATTTCGCCCAACGTCAACGGCTTCCTGCTGGATGCTCTGGCAGGAGCTGGACAGCACAAGATGGCGGCCGAATTGACCAAGAGTATCTGGACGCCCATGTTGACCAATGTCTCGACCAACACGGGCACCACGTGGGAGTACATGAGCCAGACGGGCCAACCTGGTCTGTCGCTCTTTACGAGTCACAGCCACCCCTGGTCGAGTGCGCCCACGTACGTGCTGCCACGGTACGCTGCCGGCCTGAGACCACTGGCTCCCGGCTACACCAAATTTGTGGTGGAGCCGGTACCAGAAGCCTATGGACTCAGCTGGGCAAGCGTAGACCAAAAGACCGAAAACGGCTACATTCGCGTTCGCTGGAATCAGACGGATTCGGGTCTGAACGTCCGACTCAAGGCGCCCAGGAGCGCGGTCGGTCAGGTGGCGTACACCACTTCGGACGGAACACGCAAGGTGGTGGACCTCCAAGCAAAGTCCGGATGGCAACAGGCCTCGTTCTACTAGTCAAGAGCACAGTAGAGCTCACGACCTCCCAAGCATGAAAATCGTACCTGGTGCCACAGAACCGGGCGGAATGAATTGGGCGGTGCTGCCGCCGACTGAGAGGTTCAAGCGGCCTTGAGACACTCGGCCAACACCTCGAGCAGACCTTTGCGGGCCTGTGTAACGTGATCTTGAGCGCCGGGTTGCTTGCACTGGGCGACGTGGTGGTTGATGGTATCTCGCAGCGCTGCTCGGAAGACGTCTCTTTCCAAGCCTCCGTTAGGTTTGGACGGAGCTCCTTCTTCGCGCTTAAGATGCGGAAGCACGTTGAGGATGACGTAGCTGGCACGTAGGCTGAGGTTGATGGCGTTGAGCTCTGCCTGAGCTTGTGCATCTGCCTTATTTCTCGGCTGACCCGCGCCGGGGGCCTGCAGATCGGCTCGCTCCCATTGATTGCGGATGTCTTGGTCGGATCGATCGAGCACGAGGTTCGTCAGCAGCACGGGGAAGAGCCTTTCGAGTGACAGCAAGGAATGCGCCACCGGCTCGGAGTCGGACACCATGGCTAGGATCGCCAAGCTTGCCATCCTGGTTGCGAGCGAGGGCTCCCCGCCTGTGGCTTTGGAGGGAGATGGCGAGGCGCCAGAAGACTCGTCTGTATTGATGCGGTTCACGTACGCCCAGTCGTCTACCTCGGACAGACCGAGGAGGGTTCTGAGGCGCAGGATGAGTCGGCTCTGTTGCTCGCGGGAGCCGGGAGAAGTGGCGACAAAGTACGCGAAAACTTCCTGAACCTGGAGCAAGTTGACGAGCAATTCGATCCAGGCCCTTCGGAGCATGGCGTGGTCTTCCATGAGCAGCTGTTCGCATGCATGTGCGAGCACGGATGATGTGCTGAATGCGATGGACGAGTCGTTTGTGACTCTATCTCTGGTGGCAGTCTCCAGAGAGAAGGCGGCAACATTGAGGCAGATCTGAGGAGAGAGCGAGGCGAGATTGGTGAGGGCGAGGAGAGCTTCGAACTTTTGGAGCTGGAAGGCAGTTGGGGCGAGCAGAAGGCTGCAGATAAGCGAAGTGACGGAGAGGAGGCCTTGCTCCGAGGGGAAGAGAATGGAGGGATTGAGGGAGATGAGGAGTTTCGCCAACGCCTGCAAGGGTGCGAGGTCGTGCGAGGTGACGCTTGGAGTTGACGACTTTGCGCCTCGAGAAAAGAGGCCGGTCCGATTTGCGCTCGACTGCTCAGCCTCGGCGTCGGTGCTGGGTGCAGGAAGAAGGTCGTGAAGGACGGGAGCTGAGAGCGCCAGAACAGCCTTGAGTGCGCCTTGCTGTACGGCCTTGCCGCGTACGGTGCGGTCTTGCTTTGTGAGGAGGGCCAGAAGAGCATCACTGCAGGCAGTTCGGACGCTTTTGCTGGGATTGACCTTCAACCCCGCACTTGTGGAGTTGGGGGATGGACGACCTGCCAGGGCGAGAGAGCAGAGTGCTTCGATACCTCTGGCGTCCAAGACGGCGGCGCATCTCTTGTCCGCGTGTTCGACCGTCTCGAGCTCGTCGTCGTCGTCACCGTCGCCGTTGTCTGCGGATGTAGCGTCGTTCTGCTTTGTCTCTTGGGCATTGGCAAACCTGCGAAGCCGACGAATTTGCTTCTCCTCAGCTGTAAGGGTCTTTGGATAAGCGGTGAGGTTGGAGAGAATGGTGGCGAGACCGAGCTGGAATGCGCCGTCGAATCTTTGGCTGTCCGCGTCGACTGTCTTTGTGATGCCGGTATGTTTGGGTGCAGTGGGATGGAAAGTGGTGCAAAGGATTGTGAGGAGGCGCGGTTCGGCTGCCAATCGATCTTTGAAGACCGGCTGGACTGTGAGATAGGCCAAAGCCTCGAGACAGCCGAGCTGAATGCTGCGATCGAGTTCAGCTCGAGCGACCTGATCGAGAGATTCGAGCTTCTGGGATGGCTCAGAGCCTGGACTGCGACTCAGCAGTTCGACACGAATAGCATCGAAGAGAGAATGGTCCTTGCGTTGACGTTCTGACCTATCCTGCTTAATTTTGCGGATGTGGTCCTGCTGCGAGGTCTGCTGGGAAGAGAGCGACTGAGACAGACCTTGAACGGATTCCGAGGCAGTGGCGCGATAGATCTTGATGTCTGCGAGCCCGGACAGGATGGCGACTGCGTTGGATTTTGGTTGCGAATCCAAAGCGGGCGCGGACGAGCTGGTATTTCGAGGAACACAGGCAATGTCGAGCCAGTCGAGGAGAGCCTGCTGACCTGCCAGGAACTTGCGTGTGACTGTGGAATTGGCGGCGGAAGAGACGAGCTCTGCAAGGGCCAAGCTGACGAGCTGGTCGTCGCGCAGCTGCAGCGGCGGTGACGGGACATCCGACGATGCGGAATCGGATGTGGGGCGACGGACAGCGTTGCAGGCATCTGGAGCTTCTAGCACGAGATCGAGGATGCCTTCCGCGATGAGAATGTCGTGCGCCTCCGTGGGGATTACGCTGAAGAGAGCCGCCAAAAAGTTGAGCGCGGCGAGCAGGCTGTGTGGCGTGGTGTCGGCAAGTTTGGAACGAATGACGGGAGTGAGCAGCTGCGGGAGGTTCTCGTCCGTAATCTTGTCGGAGACGCTTGACGCGGTGGCCGAGGAGGAGCGCGAGGCGAGCGTGACGAGTGCTGTGCTGCGAGCCTGCTTGAGTTGCGTGAGGACGACATCGGCATCGCCGCGCTGAGCGGACGAGTGCTGCGCGAGGGGTGCGCTGTGGGAGAGGGGTGCGAAGGCATCGACAAACGAGTGAGCCGTCGAGGTGGACAGCGGCTCATCCGAGAGCGAGAAGCGGCGGATGCTCTCCGCCAAGCTTTCCGTCTCTGCCTCTTGCATGATGTGGTGGGGGATGGATGTGAGTGACGGCACAGAAGGCAAGGCGAGAGCCAAATAGCGAAGTGCACGTTTTGAAAGTGTTGCTCTGCGGATCTTCCGAGTCCGCTGCTGGTGCGGACTAGATCCGTGTGGAGTGAGGTGTCCGCACTTCGGAACTCGGAAGACAAGTCCGACTCTAACAATTTAGCCAGTTGGCGCCGGCGCGCTCCTCTTATGCGCTTTTGCTGCGCCATTTTTCCGAGATGAGCGTCGGTGGGCGTCTGAGGGCAGGGAAATTTTTTGAGAAGGCGGAGCAGCGTTGCGAAGATGCATCGGCGTTGCGAGCTTCACTTGACCCAACACCATCACCATCTCCTCGTCCTCGCCTACTGTCCTCCTAATCACCATCCTGATTCCGCATCCGACGCCTTCAGACTCGACGGTCACGTCGCTTTGATGATCCCACCCATCTCGCTCCTCTGATCATCGCCTGTTCTCATCCGACATTCGCACCCTCCACCTCCGGCGATTGCATACGACGCTTCGCATCTCGTCGCGATACCCACCGGTCTCCATTTCGGAGTCGTCTCAGCCCACTGGCCACTTCTTTCACCCTGCGCCATCATTCGCGCAAACTCAGCCTCGTCGACCGCACACGCCGAGCATGCACGCGTAGCATCATACGACACCAGGCGTACGACTGTCCCGAGATCTTTCTAGGCCCTCACTTGCCCGGCACACAAGCAGAGGCCTCGCAGCGCGCGCTAGGCAGATCTTCTCTCACCACCATCATCCTCGACCGCTGGCCGCGCAACGCCCTACACAATCGCCACCATGAAGCAGCTCGTCTCCCAAGATGCGCCCAAAAAGATCAAGCACATCCAGTTCGGTGTGCTCTCCAAACAGGACATCGTCAACATGTCAGAGATCGAGGTCACCACCAGGGATCTCTACACCATCGGCGAGGCCGAGCGCAGACCGGTAGCGAACGGCACCCTCGACAGGCGTCTCGGCGTATCAGATAAGAGCTCGCTTTGCGAAACCTGCCACCTCAAGATGGCTGACTGCGTCGGCCACTACGGCTACATCAAGCTCGTCCTGCCCGTATTCCACATCGGCTTCTTCAAGCACACCGTCGCCATCCTACAGAGCATCTGCAAAAACTGCGCAACCGTCCTCCTCGAAGAGCCCGACCGCAGAAAGTTCCTCAAACGCTTCCGCCGACCCAACCTGGAAAACCTCGACCGCACACGAACCTTCAAGGCGGTCAACACCATCGCACGCAAGGTCCTCTACTGCCCAAAGTGCGGCTATACCAACGGCACCGTCAAGAAGCAGGGCCAGCTCAAGATCGTCCACGAAAAGTTCAGAGCAAAGAAGACCGCCGCAGAACACGAAGAGTTCAGAGCATCCTTCGCCACCAACATCAAGATGGGCAACGGCGACATCACCCCCCATCTCAACAAGGCGCAGGAAGACCTCAACCCGCTCAAGGCGCTCGACCTTTTCAAGCGCATCTCGGACGAGGATTGCGAGCTCCTCGGTTTGCGGCCCGAGTTCGGTCGCCCGGAAGAGTACATCTGGCAGTACATCTGCGTTCCACCCGTCTGCATCCGTCCCTCGGTCGCACAGGATGGCGCCACCAACGAGGACGACGTCACCATCAAGCTCACAGAGATCATCTTCACCAACAGTCTCCTCAAGCTCGGCCTGGTCAAGGGCGGCAAGGGCACCACCACCAGCCAGCTCGTCCAGCAGTGGGAGTTCCTCCAGCTCACCGTCGCCCTCTACATCAACTCCGAGCTGCCAGGCGTCCCTACACAGCCGGGTCAGAAGCCCAGTCGCGGCTTCTGCCAGCGACTCAAGGGCAAGCAGGGTCGATTCCGCGGCAACCTGTCCGGCAAGCGTGTCGACTTCTCCGGTCGAACCGTCATCGGACCCGACCCCAACCTCAAGATCGACGAGGTCGCCGTTCCCCAGAGGGTCGCCAAAATCCTCACCTACCCGGAGCGCGTCTTCGAGCACAACATCGAGCAGCTTCGTCAGGCCGTCCGTAACGGCACCGACGTCCATCCGGGCGCCAACTACCTCATGGACGGCAAGACCGGCTTCAAGCGCTTCCTCAAATTCCCAGGCATGCGCGAGGAACTCGCACAGAAGCTCCGCGTCGGCGATGTCGTCGAGCGCCACATCCGCGACGGCGATATCGTTCTCTTCAACCGACAGCCCTCGCTTCACAAGCTCTCAATCATGTCGCATCGCGTCAAGGTCCGACCCTGGCGTACCTTCCGTCTCAACGAATGCGCCTGCAACCCATACAACGCCGACTTTGACGGAGACGAGATGAACATGCACGTTCCTCAGACCGAAGAAGCCAGGACGGAAGCCACCATCCTCATGGGTGTCAAGCACAACCTCGTCACGCCTAGAAACGGTGAACCGATCGTCGCCGCCATTCAGGATTTCATCACAGCCTCTTACCTCATCTCCAAGCGCGATCGCTTCTTCGACCGAGCACAGTTCTCCCAGATCTGCAGCTACTTTGCCGATGCGAATCTGCACATCGACATCCCACCACCCGCCATCATGAAGCCCGTCCGCCTCTGGACGGGCAAGCAAGTCATGTCCTGCCTCATCCGTCCCAACAGCAAGAGCCCGCACATCGTCAACCTCGAGGCGCAGTGCCGTACCTTCGAAAAGCCCACTGGTGGCCATCCCAAGGACATGTCGCCCAACGACGGCTGGCTCGTCATTGTCAACTCCGAGGTCATGTGCGGTGTCTTTGACAAGTCCACCGTCGGTGACGGAAAGAAGAACTCCGTTTTCGGCGTGATGCTCCGCGACTACGGGCCCGACGCGGCCATCACTGCCATGAACCGCCTCGCAAAGACGTGCGCCCGCTGGCTCGCCAACCAGGGCTTCTCGCTCGGCATCAACGACGTAATCCCCGGCCCGAACCTGCGCAAAAACAAGGACGCCAAGGTCGAGGCAGCCTACGCCGAGTGTTTGGACCTCATTGAGAAGGCCAAGCGTGGCAAGCTTGAGAATCTGCCAGGATGCGATCAAGAGCAGACGCTCGAAAACATGATCTCCGGTGTGCTCTCCGGGGTCCGAAGCGACGTCGGTGAGATCTGCATGACAGAGCTCAGCCGGCACAACGCGCCGCTCGTTATGGCCTTCTGCGGTTCCAAGGGTAGTAAGATCAACGTCGCGCAGATGGTCGCCTGTGTAGGCCAGCAGATTATCGCTGGTTCCCGCGTGCCCAACGGTTTCCAAGATCGATCGCTTCCACATTTCCCCAAGAAGTCCAAGGATCCGCTTTCCAAGGGCTTCGTGCGCAACTCGTTCTTCAGCGGTTTGACGCCCACCGAATTCTTATTCCACGGTATCTCGGGACGAGAAGGTCTCGTCGATACTGCAGTCAAGACGGCCGAGACCGGTTACATGCAGCGTCGACTGATGAAGGCGTTGGAGGACCTCTCGACCCATTACGATCTGAGTGTGCGCAACTCGGTCGGCGGTGTGGTGCAGTTCATCTACGGAGACGACGGCCTGGATCCTGCGGAGCTCGAGGGCAACGCCATGCCCATCGAGCCCTTCCGCCTCTGGCGTCACTGCATCGCCATCACACGGCACCTGCCTGGGCGCGGACTATTCCCTTACGAGATCATGGAGATCGTCAAGCGCGAGCTCACCAGCCCCAAGTTCGTCAACACGTGCACCCAGAAGTACCGCGACTCTGTGCACGAGTTCCTGCACGAGAACGTGTTCAAGCGCGCCGTCGCCACGCGCGAGGCGTTTGGCATGTACGGTGCCGAGGAGCGCGAGGAGCACTGGGACGAGCATACGGATCTGTCCCTCGGCGCCAACCGCGACCAGTGGGCGATCGTCGACAACAAGACCAAGGTCAAGGAGGCGGCCGTTCTCGCATTCCTCCAGCAGTGCTACATCAAGTACATGAGGGCCAAGATCGAGCCTGGCTCGGCTGTGGGTGCCGTGGGTGCCCAATCGATCGGCGAGCCAGGCACGCAGATGACGCTCAAGACGTTCCACTTTGCTGGTGTCGCGTCGATGAACGTCACGCTGGGTGTTCCGCGTATCAAGGAGATCATCAACGCCGCCAAGGTGATCAACACGCCCATCATCGAGGCTAAGCTGGTTTCGGAAAAGTCGGAGCGCGCGGCACGCATCGTAAAGGGACGAATCGAGAAGACGTACCTTGGCGACATCGCGTCGGTGATCGAAGAGGCGTGGGCGGCGCAGTACACCTACCTTGGTGTACACATTGACATGGACGCGATCCAGAAGCTGCAGCTCGAGATCACGCTCAACGACATTAAGTGGGCGATTGTCAACGCGCCCAAGCTCAAGATCAAGGAGGAGCGTGTGATGGTGGTGCCCAAGAAGAACCGCATCCGCATCTACGTGCCGCCCGAGGGCGTGGACAAGGAGAGCGAGGTGTACTACAACCTCAAGGCGCTCAAGCGTGCGCTGCCATCGATCGTCGTCAAGGGCATCCCGCAGGCGACGCGTGCGGTGATCTCGGACGAGAAGGGCACGCGCAAGTTGCTGGTAGAAGGCTACGGCCTGCTCAAGGTCATGACGACGGAAGGTGTGATCGGCACGCAGACGCACACGAACCACGTGATGGAGATGCAGTCGGTGCTGGGTATCGAGGCGGCTCGCACGTCGGTGTATCGCGAGATCGAGACGACCATGTCGGCGCACGGCATGAGCATCGACCCGCGACACATTATGCTGCTCGCCGACACGATGACGTACAAGGGCGAGGTGCTGGGCATCACGCGATTCGGCGTGGCCAAGATGAAGGACAGCGTGCTCATGCTCGCCAGTTTCGAAAAGACGACCGACCACCTGTTCGACGCGGCGCTCTTCGGCAAGAAGGACGAGGTGCTCGGCGTGAGTGAGAGCATCATCATGGGCAATCCTGCGCAGACGATCGGCACGGGCATGCCGGCTCTGGTGGTGCCGGCGCCAAAACTGCCGCCGCGTCGTGCGCTGCTGTTCGACCGTTGAGGCTCATCGTCACGGTACAAATGCAATTGATTCACCGTGCAGTGTCTGTGTGTGTGTGTGTCTGCCTCTTGGTCGGAGGAGTGAGGGTCGAATGGCGTGGTGGAGCTGATTTTACGGCCTCGGCGATGTGGGGGTTTGTACTTATTCCGCTCCCATGGACACGGGCCACTATTGGACCGAACCGAGCTGAAAATCCGGGGTAAAGCCCGGCGTTCAAGCCTGGCCGGTCAGATGTCCTCCCTCTTCCATCCTCGGGTTCAAGTTCGTGAGATGATC